GCAATGGTAGGGCATGCAATGGTGGTGTATACAGGGGTAGGGTATACAGTGGTAGGGTATGCAATGGTATGGTATGCAATGGTAGGGTATACGTTAGTATGCAATGGTATGGTATACAGTGGTAGGGTAAACATGAACTATTTTTGTCTAAAATAACATTTTAGTTAGATTCTTAAGACAGAAGACAATATGAGTTATGTCCTCCATCTATCTGTAAACAGGCATGTATACTTTTTTTTTCCAATGTAAAATCCTCAGCTTTAGACTAGATTGTGTCTTAAGTTCATTTTATTGGACCAGGTTCATAAGAATGTGCACGTCGCCACCATGTCGCTAAAAATAACTTTACTCAGTAATAATAGTGGATACATTAAGAAAACAATTATTAAATCCTAATCGCACGAACGCAAAACAACAACACTGGTGGGTACTTTTGGGATAAGTAGGTCTCATTTCAACAGTAATCTTATTACGGCCCATGGGACACACCACCCCNNNCCATGGGGCCCCCCCCCCTTTTTCCCCCCATATTCCTAATATGAACGAAGAATAGTGACCTGTGCATTCTTCCCCCCCCCCCAACCAACAGCTCGCCATCCAGGCCAAACTGGCACCCAGGACCAAGGTGCAGGAATATCCCCAGCCGGCGGCGGATACAGACAAGCTGGACGAGGTCCTATTCGACTAAGCTGGTCGCAGCTCGCGGCATGTCGGCGACAAATACAGATAAAGCTGGACAAGGTTCTGTGTGACTAAGTGGGTCATAACTCGCGGGATACAATCTATTAGTTTATGTATAAACACTTTACCATTGATTTATGTACATACATGATTTAATGAAAAATAATTAATGTTGATTCTTAATTAGAAAAGCTAAATAGCCAGGAGAGAGAAAAAAATCAAAAGACAGCGAGCAGCTCTAATACCAGCTAAAACGTCACAACTCAGGATTCAAAAAAAAAAAAAAAAAAATCCCATTGGAAAAAAACCCCACCCCTAAACTTTAAAAAAATCCCAACGGCAAAAAAAAAAAAAAAAAAAAAAAAAAAATCCCATTGGAAAAAAGTCCCAGCTCTAAACTTTAAAAAAATCCCATCGGCAAAAAGTCCCAGCTCTAAACTTTTAAAAAATCCCATCGGCAAAAAGTCCCAGCTCTAAACTTTTAAAAAATCCCATTGGCAAAAAGTCCCAGCTCTAAACTTTAAAAAAATCCCATCGGCAAAAAGTCCCAGCTCTAAACTTTAAAAAAATCCCATCGGCAAAAAGTTCCAGCTCTAAACTTTAAAAAAATCCCATTGGCAAAAAGTCCCAGCTCTAAACTGTAAAAAAATCCACGATTGTGTTCCCAAAAAGCTTATACTCTTAAAACCCCAAAAAGTCCCAACCCCAAAAGACTTCAGAAAACAAAATCTAAGAGTACCGGTACCATAAAAAGTCACAAATCCAAGACCATGTTCCAAATGCGAGACCCCCCCCCCCCACAAAAAAAAAAAAAAAAAAAAAAAAAAAGGTCTCAACCCAATACACGAAAAAGTTCAAATTCCAATGTGCCAAAAAGTTTCAGCTATACTATAAGCATAACACTAAACCCGAAGACTCAGTAAGTTTGTGTTCAAAAGTTTGAGAAGGAAAATTGATTTGTAAGACATCACGATGTGTTTTTCACTAAACAATATTGTTTTTTTTTTTGTTTTTTTTTATAATATGGATTTTTGTTTTCAAAATACATTTTGTCGACACTGTTGTTATTTTTTAAATTTTATTATACTGTGGAGTATTGAACATGTAAAGGTTTCCTCTTTTCAGCACACTGAAGTGTAGACGAAAACATCTCACTTGGGTTTTGACAAATGACGATGCCAATGGGTTATGACAACACAATGGGTTTTGACAAATGACAACGCAATGGGTTATGGCTATAGAGTGGGTTTTGACAAATGACAACGCAATGGGTTATGACTATAGAGTGGGTTTTGACAAATGACAACACATTGTGTTTTGACAAAAGTTAACTGTGCGCTGTGCCGACTAATCATTTAATCCCATTCTATTACGTGTTTCCAACTCGGCTATAAATAGACATATACCGTTACAGTTAAATGTGTTCGTTTTAAATATTATTACAAAATTATGTCGCCATCGAACATATTGATTTTTAAAATTATTTTGTACATCTTTAATTTTTTGATAACTTTATAACTTTGGAAGAACATATTTACAACTTATTTACTCTTTAGCAGCAGTTTTCAATCGTTCTTCTTAATCCTGGAACAAATTACGTTTTATTTTTGTTTTAAACATTCAAGTTTGAATGAAATGAGAATGAAAGTTGTTTCCTGGAGGAAATGATCAAATACGAAAAAATGAATTCTCATTCAACTTTCTATGTGTACTCAAGTGGCACAAAACTACTGTAACCTGGCAGGAGGGCTTCCAAAGAGGCCAAGCGACGGCTCTGAACTCTGATACACATACATCTCCTGTGTTACCGTGATTAAGAAGAGTAATGTGTTGACCACACACTCAAAAGTATTCTTCTTCTTCGCCCTTGTTTGCACCTAATAGTGGTAGTGTTGACGTTACAGGCAGAGTTTGACTTCCGCCCTGGACACACTACCATCGAGGACCGACGTAGTGGTTCTATTTCTAGTTGATTTCGGTTTCCTGCATTTCATTTGCAGTATATTTTTTTTTGGCCACGCAATATCATTTGTTCATCTTTTTCAAAATGATTTCATTTGGGGATCTTATAAAATCATTTTATTTTTTAGGATCTAGAGAAAAAAATCTCTTAATTTAAAAAAAAAAACTGAAAAGAAAAAAAAAAAACAACAAATTTTTTTTTGGCCACACAATATCATTTGTTCATCTTTTTAAAAATGATTTCATTTGGGGATATTATAAAATCATTTTATTTTTTAGGATCTAGAGAAAAAAATCTCTTAATTTAAAAAAAAAAACTGAAAAGAAAAAAAAAAAACAACAACAAGCCCATATTGTAAATATGCCAAAGTATTGGCAGAGATAACCAAGGGTTTCAACGGGCCAATCAAATGGGAAGTTAAGAAACGTATTTTCATTGATCACAAAAAGCTATATTTATTATTATGCAATCTGATTGGTTAATTCAAATCATTCAATAAAATTTTTAAATATTTGTGTGTGTTTTGTTTGTTTGTTTGTTGTTGTTTAAATGAAAAACAATTTCGAAAAAAAAAATATTATTTTCTGAAGCACTAAATTAATATGTCGCATCGCCATTTAGACATCCCCTCTAGTCAAATTTATATTTACACATCACCTATACATCGCCAATAATAAAGATACAGTGCTTGTAGAAAACAAAATATGCTCCCTATGCAATGCTAAATATTGACGCAATGCCGAAATTTAGTTTGTTAAGCTCGTGCCTCGGGCGTCCTTGATTTAGCCTCTCCGATTGAGTGCATATAGCATAAGTGTTTCGACGCCATCCAACCCCCCCCCCTCCCCCTATTTTTCCGGCCAAACCAGTTACGCGTCTAAACTCTCGCGCCATGGGATCTAATCACCTTAATGAATGTATTGAAGACGGTTCCAGATTCTTTTATTGGCACTTGCGAAGACCCACCCCCCCCCCCGCCCTATTTTTCCGGCCAAACCAGTTACGCGTCTAAACTCTCGCGCCATGGGATCTAATCACCTTAATGAATGTATTGAAGACGGTTCCAGATTCTTTTATTGGCACTTGCGAAGGAACGGGGTGTGAAAAAAAGGGTGGGGGGTTGGTGGTCTACCGAGGGTGGCACTTTTTCGAAGGGGGGGGGGGGTCGGCATTTTCAACCAAAGACATAATGTTTTTATGGGGTGGGGGTTTGGGGGGGGCGGCATTTACCCTGCTCAGGGCCGTCTTAACAACATAGGAGGCCCTGGGCACAGCAATGCACTGGGGCACCCTAGCAACACAACACACCTGGGCCGTGAGAACGGGAGGGGCGGGCAATCACCCCATGCTAAAACAGTTGGGGTCGGTCTTCCTGCACCCCCCCCCCACACACCAACTCACCAAGAGGAATACAAATGTAACATTAAATACACGTTCATTAAAGTTAAACTTTGATGAATTCCATTTATTGATTTAAAAAAAACCAAAATCATTCAAAATCAATCAAAGTTTTAAAACATGAAGTAAACTATAAATAATCAAAGAGATGGCAAAATTATCATTACTGACAGATGGATAGTATAAATTATTTAATATAAATCAACATAATCGTTTGCGTAATTGTTTTGCAGAGGATTGTTCTATTATTGGTTTAAAGTCAATGGTCTTAAGCATGTCATTTCCCATGCACATAAGTGAAAGCCAGTTCAAATGTTTTTTGTCTCATTGTACTGCGAAGCTGATTCTTACCTTATTTTATCGATTCATACCTGGGAAAATTAAAACTTGTTGACGAGATTTATTCCACTTTAAAAGTTTTTAAAATTCTCCAACTTTGATTCGCATTTATAATATTAGTTTTGGAATGTGCTGATATGTATCGTGGGTTAAATTGGGGAATTGGGGATTTTAAATCCCATCAAATGGTCAAAAATCTTTCAATATTCATTACAAATATGTAACGCATGATGACTCTATAAGAGTGAGTCTCCGAGAAACGTTGGGCCCCCTACAATCGCGGGGCCCTGGGCCAGTGCCCACTGGGCCCATGTCTCAAGACGGCACTGACCCTGCTATGCCACTGGTTCTTGTTTAAAAAAAAAAGAAAAACTCTTTGTTAAAGTGCGCATGGTTATTTATAGAACCGAATTGCCCTTTTTGAATTTACATAAGACTACAGGCCACTTTTTCGTTCCCCATTCCTTGGCCCTATTGACAAACTGCAGTTTTGTGTCACGTGGTAGTGGTCCCATGGTTTAAGATGGTATCAAACAGGGTTCTGCATGGGTTGGTTGAGGGGGGGGGGGGCGAAGAGGTTAAGTCGTCAGGTGTATTCCATGTAACCCCCCCCCCCCCCCACAATGGCTACCTCCCTGTATGTGTGCGTGTTTTTGTGTATGCGGACGTGTGTTTGAATGTGGACTACGATAAAGTTGTTGTGCTTGACCTCACTGGATCAGGACGCTTTCATTCACACAGCTGACTGCTAGCACAAACGGAGAGCTATTTGGGAGGATATTATTCTGGTAGTGAGCAGTGCGATCTAAGTTCTGGTAGTTCTGGGAATTTGGGGCTCCTCTTTGCTAAATAGATCTACACCTTGACTTCAACGAAAGTAAGTTGTTGGTTTCTTTTTATGTTACTCTAAAAGTTTTTGTATTCTAGTTAATGGTCCGAAATTAGAGTAGGAAAATAATGCTATTCGAATTCCAATCAACTTTATGTGGAATTGTTTGCAGTGGCGTAGCTATTGTTGGTGTCACCCGGTGCGGTGTCACCCCCCCCCCTGACTTCCACGATGGATTTCTCCTTGTTAAAATAAGTCCACGGTGTAACAATGACAAGAACAAAAATTAATTGGAGTTCAGGAGGTCAAAGGTCAATGAATTTAAGAACTGTAACAGCGTTACGTCATCGTTATTTTTGACATTAAATTGACTTGATTTAAAAAAATTTTCCTTCCTGATTTTCAAAGCTGCAAACCTGTCAATCACTTGATCAAAATCAATTTCATTTGTAATTGTTATTAGAGCCAGATTTTAAAAAAAACAACAACTTGACAGTGCATTAGAGGGTCGAGGATAGTTCTTGATTAGACTTAGTTTTGAAAAGCTCCGCTGACGTGAAGCCACAGACACATAGATCGTATGAAACAATGGAAGACTTCGCGATAGTATTGGAAGAGATGCCTAGGAAGTCCCATTCATCTAGGAATTTCAAAACATTAAAGCCTGACTGGTCATGACTTTGTGAAATTCAATATCAGCTTCCTTTAGGTGTCTTCTAAGCCTTGGTATTTCTTTTAAAAGTTCATCTTCTGATAATTCAACATAGAAAGAGGTTAATTTTGGAACGGACATCAATAAACCTTCTTCACTTGCTGATAGCGGACTCTTGCGTTGAACGGCTCCAAATTTATCGGCTACTTGCTTGATCGCTGAAACCTTATCTGGGTTTCAGAACAAAAGCAATCAATACACTCCAGTATAGTCATACTGTTTTCTTCTGGCAGAGAGTCCAGAATCTATTAACTGTTCTCATGTCATTCTCTTCTTAAACCTTAATCTTCTTTCTACAGAAATTCCATATTTATCTTATTTGAAAAGTGCCTTTTCAACTGCATGTTCCACCAAGTGACAGCGTTTCTCGTGCAGAAACAATGTTGAGGCCTCTAGGTTGGTCACCACATTGTCAAGAGTAAAGCCTTTGGTCTGCAGATACTGCTGTATAAGATTAACTTTCTCAAGTTGATCCGCCCGTATAAAATGTAAAAGATAAACGTTGAATTCCATAAAGCATATAAAAGACCGCGTGCTGTAGGAACATCTTGCTCAAATGTTAAGTGGCGGTGCTAGTGACGAATCGGAGAAAATATTGATTTTTTTTGAGTATTTCTTGGTTTTGATCTATTTTGATTCAAAAACCATTATTTACATTTTAAAAAAAGATGATAAAAAAGTTTGTAAAATATTATTTTGTTAACACTATAAATGGGTAAAGTGTAAATTTTTAAGATATTTCATTTTTACCGATTCAATACATGTATTGAGAATCGCCCGACCACATCGTATTTGTTATCAATGGAAAGCTTTATTTCTCAGAATTTAGATCAATATAGCTTCCGGTCACTTACGAAAGATACCGAACACTGAAATCATGGTCAAAGCGTGGTTTTTCTGCTGACCTTATTATAGAGTCACCCCCTTTGTGACGCATCATTCTTGAACTTTTAATAAAGTACGCATGTGGATTAGTTACATGTGTGGAAAATTTAAATGTGATCGGTTATCCATTTATGAAATTCGATTAGACCGAGCAGTTTTTCTCTGTAAATATGCAACTTTTCAATTTGGTGTCACCCCTGAGATGGTGTCACCTCTGAGATGGTGTCACCCCTGAGATGGTGTCACCCGGTGTGGTCCGCACCCCCCGTACCCCGCTAGTTACGCCATTGATTGTTTGTAATAAACACATTAAGATCATTCAAATTAATGATTAAGCACTGCCTTAATGCTTGCCTTGCGCTCTGACTGCCAGATTTCTTACCGAAATTCAATCACATTTATTTATTGCTCGATAGTAAGGCGTTACATCTCCAATAGGCGTATACCAACCATGAACTATTAAGACGATTCCAGTACATTGAATACTTTGATACCGTGGGTTGCATTCAACCGGGGGGAAAAACAAGCACTTTGCCCCTCTAATCCGTGGTGGTTTGGGGGGGGGGGGGTCCACAACTACTGAGTACTTTCCAGCAATACAGTATTACTCTTACCCCCCCCCCCCATAAGTGGCGTAACGAGGGCTAGCGCCGCCAGAGACGCGTGGGCAGATAATTTTGCCACCCCACCGACCCTTTTCCAAGAAAAAAATTGGTCGAAATGGCCACTTATCCACATAAAAATAAAAGTGTCTCCACATCCCATTGCTACGCTAATTCCAACAGCCACCCAGGCGTTGCCAACTCAATCAATTACAAATTTACTGACAGATACTTTCAATGCGGTATTTACGGTTCCAGATTCTTTTATTGGCACTTGCGAAGGAACGGGGTGTGAAAAAAATTTTTTTACGAAGCAAATAGTAAAGTATTATTAACAGCATATTGTATTTTATGAAATTACCCAACTTAGAATTTAAACAAGTATTTACTATTTTATTGAATTTCACCTCTTTCATTTTATTATTAATTTTCTTTCCTGCGTTAGAAGCCAGTGGCGTAACGAGACACTGTGTCACATGGGAGGGGACTTTAAGTTTGCCGCCCCACCCCAAAAAAAAGCAAGATTTTTTTTTTTCAAGTGAAACCTGCAAATAGCGAACATTAAAATATCACTGTTTCTGGCATATGAGCTAAGTCGCTCAGGAACGTAATACGTTTTTAACATTATAACTGACTGTTATGTTTTCTATGTTTTTATTTTCAACAATAAACTTTAACATAAATATCCATAAATAAAAGTTATCAATAATGTTGACTTTCTGCTTGCGTCTGGAACACACTGTTGATTCACACTCTCTAACTACAGTCTCTGCGCTATCAGTACGGTCTAGTCCGCTAATCCACGATAACACCTCCCCGCATATCTACAGTCTCTGCGCTATCAGTACGGTCTAGTCCGCTAATCCACCATAACACCTCCCCGCACAATTACAAGTCCAGTGCCAATGGTGCTCGACGTCGCCTTTGAGATCTTCTGGGTATGACGTACTCTGAATGTCTTGGATGTCGAGGGTTAATCTTCTTCTTAGGTGGACTTGGAGTTTCTGGATGTGTAGACGGTTGATGACTCAGGGCTGCCTGAGCTGTTGGATAAAGACTTCATGTCATTATATCCAAACTTGATTCTGAATCTTCTTCTGCTCCGTACCTGGGGCAAAGTTGGTCTAAATGTCTCTTCCATATGGGACCATTCGGATAAATCTTCACCTTGAAAAGACGTGGACCCATAACTTGGATGATTGTACCGGGAGCCCGTCGTGGTCGTTGTTCCATATATTCTGACGTAACATAGATCTCCCCGGTTGGTCCGCTAGTCCACAAATAGCACCATAGGACCACCTGAACCTGAAAATAACACCAGCCTTTCTTCGTTCACAAGGATTTGAGTTATATCCCGTTTTCACTACTTATAGAAAAGTGCCGGTAAGTCAACTTTATCGGCTGTTGGGGGTGGGGGGGGGGGGGGGAGGTGGGAATAGAAATTGAAGGCACCGAATGCTGCAGAGCCAAACCAAAGTGCGGGGCAGGAGAAGGTGGAGGGGGCTCATTGAGCCCCTTCCCACGAACCTTTTTGAGAATTCAAAACAGAAAGATTAATTTTGGCGTATATCTGAATTTAGTTTTGCACCAGCCTACCCGATTCATTGATTAATTGATTAATTGACTGACTGGTTGATTGATTGGTAAGCTGGTTGGTTACTGTCTGACTGACTGACTGATTGATTGATTGATTTGTTGGTTTATTGACTGACTGACTCTGACTGACTGACAGCCTGATTGATTGATCAATAAGAAATGATGTGACATTCAAGTGCCCCTTGACCTGGCTGTGTGCATAATTTTAAAAAAAATATTTTTAACCGTTACAAAAAATAAAGTTGTTATGTTATGTAATATTTATTTAAACTTAAGCTATTATAAAACAATTCAACTATTTGCTTTTTTAAAAACTTCTTCATTAATAAACTATTATTATTATTTTAAAATTGCCACTGCGACGTACCGGCTCTTAACATCAGGGTTTCTTTCAGCTATAGGGGGGGGGGGCGGAGCAAAAATATGTCCAACAATAAATCAACCGGCCCCGCTGGTACCCCCCCCCCCCCCGAAAACTCTGAAGTGCCCCTCCCCCGGGGGAAAATTTCTGAAATAATCACTGCTTTTAACATAAGAAAGCATATACAGCTTCCCGGGTGCCTAGTTGTGGCGCTGAGTTATATTAGAGTCTTATATTAGACTAGAAAATATCACCCGGTGTTATCTAGGAAATAATGGCAGGCCCCTTGCGATAATTTCTACCTCCTATTGCGAAAACGCATCACAATTCCTTATTTTGGTAACCTCTCATTTTCACAACTCTACTATCATTGGATTTAAAGATATTGTCTTCCACGTAAAAATGTACACACCCTATTTCTACCACCGATATATATATATATATATATACATATGTTCATAAGAAGGTTAATTATTTATCAAATCCTTTCTCTGATGCGCATCTTGTGCTGCCTGGGGAAAAATGTAAGTGTTGAATCCAACCCCCCCCCCCCCCCCACCCCTTTCCAACCATTTTAATTTTTTTAAAAATAATAATATCAACAATATCCCCCTACGTACGCAAACACACATTTTTTGTACGCCCCTAAACTTGATTAAAATTTTTAAGTCCCAGATCCCTTTATGTATGAGGTTTGTCAATTCTGGCTTCTTTCCTTATTACCAATGAGTTCCAGTCCGGCCGTACTACATCTTCACTACTGAAGACCATGGGGCTCAATGGGCCATAAAATTATTCCCTGCGTCTTTTAATCCCTTACTTTTTCCTTGACATGGTCGAGAATGCCCCCCACCCCTAGAGAGAGAGAGAAAAATGTGCCGCCAGGGACAGACCGCCCCCACTCCCCTTAAGTCCGTAAGAATTTCCTACGCCACTCTAAGCAGACTACGTCCCAGTTTTAATCCAGCCCTAGAGTAAAATAAATACGTTCTTATCAATTTCAAACATCTCTCTTTAGTAAAGTTTTAAATCTTTACATATATTAATAATAGAATTGTTCTGTCAAAGCCAGAGAGTCTGTCAAACCCAGAGAGTCTGTCAAAGCCAGAGAGGCTGTCAAAGCCAGAGAGTCTGTCAAACCCAGAGAGTCTGTCAAAGCCAGAGAGTCTGTCAAAGCCAGAGAGGCTGTCAAAGCCAGAGAGTCTGTCAAACCCAGAGAGGCTGTCAAAGCCAGAGAGTCTGTCAAACCCAGAGAGTCTGTCAAAGCCAGAGAGTCTGTCAAAGCCAGAGAGTCTGTCAAAGCCAGAGAGTCTGTCAAAGCCAGAGAGTCTGTCAAAGCCAGAGAGTCTGTCAAAGCCAGAGAGGCTGTATGTTAAAATTTAAACAAATCTATTTCAACTCAAGGATTTGCTTAATAGCCATGCGTCATTGCCATGGGTAGTTAAAGGGGGAAAAAAAAACAAGAAGAAAGAAAGAAAGAGGCATGTTTTTGTCTTCGACCTTGAACTTTCTCTGTCGGGAATCAGTCTTATTAAACAGATTGTTGAACTTTGTTAAATTCCATTGACAAATTCTTTGACCCCCCCACCCCCACCTCATGTCCCTTAGATTCTCTGAATGTGGCCCTGCCGCTTTGGTTAAATAAAGGGAGCAAATATATGTTTTACACTCCAGGATACACAGTTGCCGTACGATACCCGATGAGGTCAAGGGCAGCCAAAACGTTACCATGTAATCGGAAGTTTAGAGCTTCAGTACATAGTAGGAGGAGTAGCCCCCCCCCCCAAAAAAAAAAAAAAGTTGTGAGTGTGACGTGACGTCACCGAGAATATGCACGTTTTAAACCCGATGAGGTCAAGGGCAGCCAAAACGTTACCATGTAAACGGAAGTTTAGAGCTTCAGTACATAGTAGGAGGAGTAGCCCCCCCCCCCAAAAAAAAAAAAAAGTTGTGAGTGTGACGTGACGTCACCGAGAATATGCACGTTTTACCATCTGGCTTTTGTAGACACTTAAGAGACATGGTGTAACATAGCATTCGGAAATTAGAGCTTCAGTTCATAGTAGGCCTGCAATGTTTACGCTCAAGACACCAAATGTAAAATAGCATTCGGAAGCTAGAGCTTCAGTTCATAGTAGTCCCCCCAACGGTTATACTGAAGAGTCATAATGTAGCACAGCATTCAGGAGTTAGAGTTTCAGTTCATAGTAGGCATCAATTGGTGATGTTTAAGAGACCAAAGGTAACATAGCATTCGGAAGTTTTTGCTGCTGTGTGGGTTGTTTTTTTTTTTTTTTTTGTTTGTTGCTTGAGACATGAGGTTTTAGGGGATCCGTGCCTTTTTGACGTTGCCCCGTGAACTTTCTTCCCTAGCCCATCATTAGGTTATCTCCAATGCGGTGATCATCTCTCGGCCTCAGAATACGTCCACTTGCCACCCATTTGCGATCGCACACTCCTCCATTTCTGCGTTACCTTTCGTGTCACAATGCCCTGTCCAACTAAGTCCTACCTTTCGTGTCACAATGTCCTGTCCAACTAAGTCCTACCTGTCGTGTCACAATGTCCTGTCCAACTAAGTCCTACCTGTCGTGTCACAATGTCCTGTCCAACTAAGTCCTACCTGTCGTGTCACAATGTCCTGTCCAACTAAGTCCTTCCTGTCGTGTCACAATGTCCTGTCCAACTAAGTCCTACCTGTCGTGTCACAATGTCCTGTCCAACTAAGTCCTTCCTGTCGTGTCACAATGTCCTGTCCAACTAAGTCCTACCTGTCGTGTCACAATGTCCTGTCCAACTAAGTCCTTCCTGTCGTGTCACAATGTCCTGTCCAACTAAGTCCTACCTGTCGTGTCACAATGTCCTGTCCAACTAAGTCCTTCCTGTCGTGTCACAATGTCCTGTCCAACTAAGTCCTACCTGTCGTGTCACAATGTCCTGTCCAACTAAGTCCTTCCTGTCGTGTCACAATGTCCTGTCCAACTAAGTCCTACCTGTCGTGTCACAATGTCCTGTCCAACTAAGTCCTTCCTGTCGTGTCACAATGTCCTGTCCAACTAAGTCCTACCTGTCGTGTCACAATGTCCTGTCCAACTAAGTCCTACCTGTCGTGTCACAATGTCCTGTCCAACTAAGTCCTACCTGTCGTGTCACAATGTCCTGTCCAACTAAGTCCTTATCTAGTTTTACCAACCTTCCGCCTTAAATCATTTCCCCGGGGGTATGCAATAAAATTAATCCACTAACCAGAGTCAGGTGTTCTCACACTACATTCTGTCTGTCCCCGCGGGGTACCCCACTGTATCCTCCAAACCAAAAAAAAAAAACAAACAAACAAAATAAACGCTGATCTCACCCATCCTGCCCGTCATCGCCGAGTGACGTCATATTCTAAAAATAGTTTCAACCGAATAACGTTTTAACTTTTAACCGAGTCTGGGAGATGTTTTAGAGGTGTCCTGTAATGTAAGCGTCTTGCATTGTCTCATGCACGACAGCACTGATGTGGGTGAAAGAGGAGGGGCGGATGGAGGGGCCGTCAAGGTATGAGAATCACTGTGCCTAGGGTGAGCTTTGTCTGGTCATGAGTTGTGGGACGTATGTGCCGTTGTGATTGGTCGAAGCGAAAGAAGAATAAACAGGTAAACGGGAACTGTATGGTAGAGTTTTCTGGGACCAGACTGCAGTGCCGGCATGTATGGTGTGGTCTGTTTGGGGATATGTAAGAGAAGAGTATGTGGGTAAAGGGTTGTAATGGGAAGGGTGTATGAAGGTGAATGTTGATAAAGGAGAGATTAGAGTTCCTGTCAGTGTTGATAAGGGAGAGATTAGAGTTCCTGTCAGTGTTGATAAGGGAAAGATTAGAGTTCCTGTCAGTGTTGATAAGGGAAAGATTAGAGTGACTGTCAGTGTAGATTAAGGAGAGATTAGAGTGACTGTCAGTGTTGATTAAAAAGAAATTAAAGTGACTGTCAGTGTTGATGAAAAAGAGATTAGAGTTACTGTCCGTGAATTCAGGTTGTGTTGAACAGTTTGACGTGTCAGCCATCATTGCGCCATCATAAAGAAATAACAGATTCGAATGTGTTGGTTTTTTTTTTTTAATTGATAAGTATAGTCATCCTATTGTGTGCTGAACAATTTGGTTCCCTGTAAAATCATAGCCAGAACCGCTGGAACGCAGGTCGGAACGGGTTAGTTACAATTGTTTAGGGATATGTGTGGATAGCAGACTAGACCCTTATCAGAAGCAGCTTAAGTTTTTTATATTTTTTTTATGAACCAACGAAACCGGAGATTTATGTCCCCGGCCCATAGGAATTACCCGAAAACTATTTTTGTTCCATTCTTCCAGCAGGAGAGAAACTTGAAAGCGGAAGTAAATAAGGGTGAACATTACTGTAGTCGACCGCTCTGACATCCATTAATTTGGACTTTGACGTGACCCCGATACCAGCAATTTTGGTAGTTCTCTCCCAGGACCCTTCGCGATGTGGTTTTTTTAGTAAACAGAAGACATACCGGGAAATAATCCCACCCCCCCGGTACACAATTCTGGAATACAAATTTCTTTCTTTAAAAAAAAATCAGAAAGTTGTAATAATTATCGTTATCAGCCAGGACCTGTAAAATCTAGTTATCTCCCCTAAATTCTGCTAAGCTCAGTAGCTCTAGTACACGGTTTCTCTTGCGTTTTCAAGTGAGACCACATTCTTATAGAACAGTGGTTCTCAACCTTCCAAATGCCGTGACCCTTTTATGCAGTTCCTCATGCTGTGGCGACCCCTTAAATATAAAATTATTTTCGTCGCTACGTCATAACTGTAGAGTATTTGTGTTTTCCGATGGTCTTAGGCGACCGCTGGGAAAGCGTAGTTCGACCCCCAAAGGTTGAGAACCGCTGATATAGAAGGAAAGTGACCCTATATTTTGGGGGTTGGGGGTTGGCTTTAAAATAGGGTAAATTCTTTTTCACATATCAGTCGTGGTGTTAGGGACTATGAAAGATTACTCGAATTAAAAAAAGTGAATGATATGTGGACCAGTGGTGTACCTTGATTCATTTCTGATTGGGGCGACCACTAAAAGAGTCCAACCCCTAACACACACGCATCGATCTATTTTAGGTTAGTCTCACGTATAATAAAACCCTAAAGTGCCGCCCTTAACGTTCCCCTTCATACCACCCATGTACGCCACGCCACTGGAGAAGGGTGAATGTGACTGCCTAGGGACCTCTAAAGGTCTTGCACTGAGTCAGTTCCGCATATGTTGACCAAACTGGAGTTTAAGTTGTTTACATGGCAAAACGTTGAGTTAAAACTTTCAGTACCCATGGACTTAAAGCGCACATTCAGTAATCCCGGATATCTAAGACAGTCGTTATTATCTTGGTCTCGGTCTGCGACACAGGAAAAGAAGGGGGTTGGGGGTGGGACAGGGCATTAGACAGCCTGTAAAGGTTTTTCAAACTAGGTTCTTGTTTTTTGTTGATGGTTTCAATGATACTGTTTACATACTGTTACCAACTATATTAATCATACATCCCGTTTGTGCCAGGAGTCTGTAGCTATACCACAATTTTCACACATTGCATTTATACCACAATTTCACACCTTGAATAGCGTGGCCATTGTTTAAATAACAGGCCATTGTTTAAATAACAGACCATTGTTTAAATAACAGGCCATTGTTTAAACAATGACCTTAAATAACAGGCCATTGTTTAAATAACAGACCATTGTTTAAATTACATGCTAATGTTTAAAAAACACGCCATTGTTTAAATTACAAGTCAATGTTTAAAAAACAGGTCATTGTCTAAATTACAAGCCCATGTTTAAATAACAGGCCAATGTTTCAAAAACACGCCATTGTTTAAAAAACAGGCCAATGTTTAAATAACAGGCCAATGTTTCAAAAACACGCCATTGTTTCAAAAACAGGCCAATGTTTCAAGTACAGTTTGGACTAGTCATTTAAGATTTGTCTTCATTAAAACGAAGCACTATTTCATCCCTCTTTTCTTTGTACTATTATTTTTACTTTCAAAATAATTCGAACGGAGACGTTATTCGATGACCCATCAAAATTTTACTCAAAGTAAGATATGCATCAAAGTAAGATGTGCATCAAAGTAAAATGTGCATCAAATTGAGATCTACATCAAAGTAAGATGTGTATCATATCGAGATGTGCATCAAAGTAAGATGTGCATCAAAGTAAGATGTGCATCAAAGTAAGATGTGCATCAAAGTTAGGATCTCCAAGACGGGAACTTTGAATTTTTTTTTTTTTTTTTTTTTTTTTTTTTTTTTTAAAACTAGAAATTACTTGGGAGATGAAAATAAAACTCAGGTGAACGAGAAACACTGTTTAATGTAATCCAATGCCACTCTTGGCCAAGTGTATTCAAATAACATGGTTTTACAATACAATGTACTTGTAAAAACAAGCTAGTCGGTATTTGTAAAACTTGGGTCTTATTTTCTTCACAGAAGAGCCGACGATGTTCTATCTCACGTGTGCGATTATTGTATCTTCTCTAATAATCCCCCATGCCACTGGTGCCACCTCAAAGGCGATTATGACGATGCGCATGGAAGCCGGTGCGCAAGAAACGGAGCATGCGGCATCGCCTCTCAGAGCAGAGTACCTTAAGAAAAGAATGAATCGACGATTTACCCCTTCATATGACCACAACGGTGACGTGACCTTGACTGCCGCACTTGACAAAAACGTGTCCGTGACCTTGAGTCCAAACGGTAGTCATGATATGAAATCTGAAGACAGACCACTTGAAAACTCGCGCGTGGTTAATCCGGAAAGGGCGTACTGGTCAGAGTTCACATGTCCCAAGGCGCAGAGCTGCAGCGGTAATGACGACGACGAATGTCTATCTAGATGCAACACGACCGCCAAGACATGCGACTGCCAGGGCTTGAGGTTGACGTCTGTCCCTTGCAACCTGCCCGAAGATACAGAAAAGCTCCATCTCGGCAACAACACGATTGATGCCCTGAACGATTGCGTCTTTGACCGTTACCGCAGTTTGATGCACCTTGACCTTAAAAAAAACAGGATCTCCAAACTTTCCGAGAACTGCTTTGCGGGCCTGACGGCTCTGACCGAGCTGAACATGGAGGATAACATACTCAACCTTACCGAGCACACGTACCCGGCAAGTGTCTTTCTGCCCCTGGTGTCCCTCCAGCGACTGAAAATAAACCGAAACAACAAGGTCAATTTCGGAAATTTCAGTTATCCGGATAGAGCCCTGTCCCAACTAAAAAACCTGACGGTTCTCTTCATGGACGGCTTGCACGACAAGATTTTCGGGCCAGGGTTCAGTGCGATGACGTCGTTGGTCAATCTCACTTTGGCGGGCTATTTGGACGGATTCTGCAATCTCGGGGCGCTCACCAATGTCACGTTTGCGAACCTGAAATCACTGAAGATGCTCAACATCAGCAACTGCCACTTGAACGGTTCCATCATCGACCGAGATGCGTTCAGGTCGTTGTCGAACATTGAAATCCTCGACCTGCATTACAATGAAAACATCGGCTTGGATAACGTGGAGAAGATAACTTTTGGGTTGAAAGACTCCCACCTCACATTTTTGGACCTGAGCACGACTGAGTCTCGGTACTCCACGGGGAAGCTCGTGAACGAGAGCCACGTGAGGAATCTCCCGGCAACACTGGAGGTTCTCAAAGTGGCCGGGAACAGCATTGAGCAAGTGGATACTTCTGTTTTTAGTCGCCTCCCACAAAACTTGTGCCATCTTGACGTGGGTAAAAATAAACTTGTGTTTGGCCGGTACTTGTGCTATCTGCCAGAGTTGAAAAATTTGACATCTTTGTATCTGGACGGGGAAGACTTCCTGTACGACATCCCCACGACATTTCCCTTCCAAGACGGCTCACCGCTGAGATATTCATCTCACAGACTCAGACGCTTTGCTTCACGATTCAGTTGCAACGGGACATCAACGACGTCATTCTCCCTGCCGGAAAAGCTAACAAAAATCGAAATGAACAACGCCGGTCTTGAATACCGGTTTTCCGCTCTGAACATCACGCCCCAAAATTCGATTGAAAGCTTAAGCTTCGACAGGAATTATATCCCTGAACTAATTGGACCGTTTATAGGACTCCTTTCTCTAACCAACTTCAGCATCTCCTCGAGCTTTGTCAAATATATAAACTCTTCGTTTTTCGCGAATTTCCCAATGCTTGAATTTTTATTCTTGAACGACAATTTTCTGGGTGGGTATTTCCCCGAGCCGAGCGCAGAGAGCCTCTTCCATGATCTGAATAAACTTAAAGTGCTGGAGATGACCTTCAACGAGATTGAAACATTGCCGAAGGACCTTTTCAAAGGACTGACCTCTCTCACTCACTTGGATCTTTCCAGTAACAGGCTGCGCAATTTTAACGTCAGCATTTCGGACATGAAAAATCTGACGCTTTTGAACCTGACCTCCAATAGCGTCCGCCAACTTTCGTCCGATGTCCGTCGCTCCATCGACGATTTGTTGAGAGGGAAGGTACCCATCCGCGTTGACCTGTCCGACAACCCCATAGACTGCACGTGCAACAACATAGAGTTCCTTGAGTGGTTAGCGGCCAAGACGGAAGTTTTCGGAGAGTACGACAACTACAGATGCTTAAGAGAGGACGGCTCGGTTCTGGTCGTCCGTGACGGTTACTCGAGTGTCCTGCAGGTGCTGCGCAGGGAGTGCTCGTCCAACAGGGTGCTGTTCGTCATCATCCTCGCCGCGACCGTTTTGGCCCTCGCGGTCATCGTCGGTCTGGTCTTCTACAGGTACCGCTGGACGATCCGGTACTTGTACCACGCGGCGTACCTTAGCTACCAGCAGCGGAAGGGGGCGAGCAGCCCCGGGGATTACACTTATGACGTATTCATATCCTATGCGTTCCCCGATGAGCGCTTCGTTGTGGAGTCGGTCACGCCAGGTATTTATCAAATCAGTATTGTAGCCAGAAGAAGGGGGTCACACCAGGTATTTATCAAATCAGTATTATAGCCCGGAGAAGGGGGTCACGCAAAGTATTTATCAAATCAATATTGTAGCCAGTAAAAGGGGTTCACACCAGGTAATTATTTTTTTTTTTGCACTGAGTTCAGAGTCATTAAAAAACATATGTATGCACATGGGCGCCCGCAGGGGGGCAAGGGGGCAAGTACTTGCCCCCCCCCCCTGGATTGATTGGATAAAAATTTTTTAGACAAAAATAGACAAAAAATTTATTAAAGTAAAAAGGAAATAAAGAGAAAGTAACTAAGCTGATGTCCTGTCCGTTCGTTCTCAATACAAATACGCTGCAGTAAATTAAAACTACATTAAAACATTACTAAAAAAAAAAAAAAAAAAAAAAAAAAAAAAAAAAAAAAAAAAAAACCCTAGAAAGTTTCTGCGGGCGCCCATGTGTATGTATATTTTAGAGCGCGCTATAAAGAATTAATCATTCTACCCCTCACCTTTAAAAAAAAAACAACAACCGACCATTAACTTCAGTAAACCCATTTTATTCTTATACACATTTAATTTTTCAACACCTAATTATAAAGATGAAAATATCATTAACTTAAAAACAACAGCCACGCTTAAGAGAAATAAAAAAAAAAAGATTTGAAAAAAAAAATTGTCATGAAAATAAATAAACGAAACTATCTTCTTGTTTTTTGTGTTGATATAGTTTATTTACAATTTTTTTTCAAGAGTTGGAAAAACGGGGTCTGAAAGTTCACGTCCACGGGCGTAACTTTGTGGCGGGAAACTTCATCGCGTCCAACATCGTGAGTGCCGTCAGTGCCAGCAGGAAGACGCTTGTTATACTGACCAACAGTCTGCTGAAGAGCCATTGGTGTAACTATGAAGTGCAGGTCAGTACTATAACTAACACCCATTTTTCTGGTTGAGGGCCTGAGCTTACGCTTTTAAAGTCCCGGCTAGAGCATTGGCCACCAGCGCCACCTGCTGGGCCGTGCCATATAACATCGTCGTAACGCAGGACTCTCCCGCCGCCCTGGCCTCTCCCCCCCCCCCACCCCTAAACATCTAGTGCTGGGCATTCAGTCAACAGATGAGCTAGAGTTTTCTGGGACCAGACTGCAGTGCCGGCAGGTATGGTGTGGTCTGTTAGGGGATATGTAAGAGAAGAGTATGTGGGTAAAGGGTTGTAATGGGAAGGGTGTATGAAGGTGAATTGTGAAGAAAGTTGAGCATGTGGGTAAGCGGTTATATGAGATGGAGAATGTGGTTAGGTGAACGGTTTACTGGCACAGCAGTGGTTGCGAATAAATGTCCACACAGAGGAATCCTACGAATATCCACACCATCCTTGTTGGCCATCCATATAATGACGTCACGCAGAGAGAGCGGTGGCTGGCACAAATTTTAAAGATTAAAAAAAAAAATAGTTGTTCTATTTTTAACTTTATTGACGAATTTGTGTGTGTGCTTTTAAAAACGTACGTGCGTGTGTATGTGCTTTTATACGTTTTGTCAGGTGATAAAGTCGTGTAGCCAAAATGCACATGACTCATCGCCCAACATCTATAAACTTAGAATGCACGCCTTTGGTCTTAAGTCGAAGTGCCCAGACCTTACGCATTCGTCAAATGACTGATATCACGTCTCGTTTCAGATGGCGAACATGGAGTCGGTGTACGCCGGCCGTCCGGTGCTGGTGTTCCTTCTCAAGGAGAACATCCCCTCCCACAAACTCGGCTGTCTGATCAGCTTCATTCGTAACAATACCTACATGCCCTACCCCCAAGGGGACGAGATCGCTGAGAGGGAACGCAATGCCTTCTGGGATAAACTCGCCAGAGATTTAAGATAGAACAACCCCCCCCCCCCAGCTGTCTGAGCAGCTTCATTCGTAACAATACCTACATGCCCTACCCCCAAGGGGACGAGATCGCTGAGAGGGAACGCAATGCCTTCTGGGATAAACTCGCCAGAGATTTAAGATAGAACAACCCCCCCCCCCACACACACACACAGTTCGTCCACCATTTACGTCATCGTTGTCCTCTACAAAATCATCAAATCTATTCTCAGTTCTCGGGTATACTTGCCTGTGTTCAAATAAACAACAACAATACAAACAAACATACAAACAAACAAAAGTACTGTTTAAGACTCGGTTTGAAAGTGGTTTAAAGTTCATAACGAATGTCTCAGCTCAGTTTGTGATGAAACATGATGATTGTTCAACTAACAAGCATCACTAACAACAGCATAGATAACAAACACATGTTACCAAAATCTCAACAATTTTAATATGTGATACCACTTTTAAATAAAACCCGTGTTTTTTTTTTATATAATAAAAAACAAATTAGACCAATGTACAAGACAAAACTTTTCCTTGTTCTGTGGTTGCATTTAAATTAATTTGTAATTTAACATTTTAAAAAAAAAATATGTATAGATTCAATTGAGATAAAACTCGTTTTTATATAACTGAATCATAGTTCCTTTATTTCAAACATTCTTAATTTTATTTTTTATTTTTAAATTGTATTGTGATTCATAAAACACGTGGAGGGGAGAAGGGGGGAGGGGGGGAAGGAAGAATTGGGGGCGCCATATTGAACGTCCCGTCCCGCATGCAGCCCTCGGGTTGGTCCCCGCACTAGAGATGCGTCACAAAACCGCTACAGTGTGGCAGTAACACACAAGTAAGCGCAGTAACACACAAGTAAGCTCTGAGATCGATTCAATCCCAAGAGCATTCAAATTGATGAGGCTTACGATGAGTTCTAAGACAAGGGCGATGATAAGAGGAGATATAAACAAACATTTATTTAAAAGGTCAAAGGTAGAGGGAATTACCATAATTTATAGAGAAGAACAATATGATCTGAACACGTCACAGATATCATGGCTTAACACAGAGAGCTCACTGCCGAAATTCGACGATGAAATCAAACACTAAAAACATATTTTCCCCTTTATAAAATGAAATAGCGAGCAATTGGGGGGGGGTGGGTTTTGTGTTTGCGGGTTGAAAATTGGGGGAGAAACATGAATACAAGTAACCCACCTTATAAGAATCCCAATTAGTGCTTACACCCCACCCCCCTTTTTTTCAAAATAGCTCACAACCGCACATTTGTTGGTTTTTTTTTTTTTGCGCCTCTGAACTAAATTAATATTCTTTTGACCCACCCACTTTAACATCGCAAATTTATTTCAGAAAAAAAAAAAAAAATATTACGCACCAAACGCACTTGCGATATTTTTTGCAAATCTCATTTTTCTTCTTATGTTGGTTTTTTTTTTTTTTGCGCCTCTGAACTAAATTAATATTCTTTTGACCCACCCACTTTAACATCGCAAATTTATTTCAGAAAAACAAAAGAAAATATTACGCACCAAACGCACTTGCGATATTTTTTGCAAATCTCATTTTTCTTCTTTGTTACCCTAAAAAAAAAACAGGAAAAATTGATTATTGGGGGGAGCTAAAAATTTGATCGAATGTGTTGTCATCGGCAACCACGTCTATGTGCCGAGTTTCAGCTCGATAGCTTGATTGGAAGTGGGTCAGTTAGCTATCCGAAAGTTTTAGCTGCCAGCCATCCACGAACAAAAGCGAAGTTGGTATAAAGGATTTTAGAAACACACAACAACCCGCCCCAACCCCCGATAAAAAATGCTAAAACAAAAACAAAACAAGAATGCATTGAATTATATTAATTATAAGGTGGGTTATACGGGCACCAAGTTAGGATAACATAATATGACATCGGGATACGTATATTAGGATGCCAGCAATAACACTACACTTAGATAAGGATAATTCAAATGTGATAGAAAAATAAATGTCGGAAACATAGGTATAGATATCAAAACAGCCGTGCCGGGGAGAAGCCTGAAAATTGCGCCCCTTGATACACATAATTATGTGTCGCTTTTCAGGGCGGTCCAACAAAAAAAAGATGATATTGGCACCCCTTGTCTTGGTGGAGTACATGGAATTTTATCGTTCGTTTAATTTACCATTAACGTCTTGTTTAAAGGCAATTTTCGAAGCCCCCTGATGTTGGCGCCCGGGGCGAGTGCCCCCTTCACCCCGACCTGCTTTCTGGTGGCCTTGAATACCAGACATGTGAAACACGAGTGTTGATATACAGAAAAGGGAAATGTAGTTATGAGTATCATAAATACGATACGTAAGTTTGGGTATCAGAAATGAATGGACAGACGCTGTGAAATGAACGTCACCTGGGAGTCCGTGCATGGAGACGAAAGGCCATTGATGTGTATGAGTGGAAGGATGTAGTGAGACAGGATAGAGCCCTCCATGGGCTGTAGTGCCTTGGATAATGATGATGATGATGATGATGAAGATGATCAGAAATGTGATTAGGATAAAAATGAGAAATTGTATACATAAGCTAGGATAAATGATATGATTTACATAATGATAGCAGCATACTTTGTGATGCATAGCAATGTTTAAAGTAAGCGAGATTTATTGATCACACAAGAGTCTTCTGATGAGCGAACGTGGTAATGTAGCACTGAGTCAGTGCAACAGCACACGTTTAGCCAATCAGTCGTTGCATCACCTCATGTTTAACCAGTCAGATCTTGCAACGTCACACATTTAGCCAATCAGACGTTGAATCACTTCACATTTGGTCATTTAGACGTTGCATAACCCAATTTTGTGCCAATGACACAGTGCATCACCATAACCTTGGCCAATCATTACACATTCAGCCAATCAGACGTAGCCTCACAACACGATCAGCCATTAAGATGTGGCGTCAGCTCAAATTAAGCAAATCAGACTTTGCCTCCCGATGCATTAAGTGGGCCAGTCATCAAGGCCCCATGACTTTAGTCAATTTGATGATGCAACGACTAATACACGGTGAATAACACGGAAATTTCATGTTTTAATTGTTCCCAGACACTCTCTGAGTCGGTTATGATGACCCCCCCCCCCCCCCCCCCCCCGTTTTATCTATCTTCTTTGAACTGATGACGCGGGTTCATCTCGCTTGATTACACCCTTGAAATCTGCCCCTCCTTCGAAGATTTACTTCTCTCGGGATAAGAGTTAAATCTCGATGTCCTCTCTGGATTAGAGTTGAATCCAGATATCCTCCCGGGATAAGGGTCAAAACCTGATGTCCTCTCAGGATAAGAGTTAAATCCCGAGGCTCTCTCGGGATAAGAGTTCAATCCTGAGGCTCTCTCGGGATAAGAGTTCAATCCTGAGGTCCTCTCAGGATTAGAGATAAGTCCCGCTCTTCTCTCGGGATTAGAGATAAGTCCTGCTCCTCTCTCGGGATTAGAGATGAGTCCCGCTCTTCTCTCGGGATGGGAGAGAAATCCTGTAGCTCTCTCGGTATTAGAGTTCACCACTGCTGTTCTCTCGGTATTAGAGTTCACCACTGCTGTTCTCTCGGTATTAGAGTTCACCACTGCTGTTCTCTCGGTATTAGAGTTCACCACTACTGTTCTCTCGGTATTAGAGTTCACCACTGCTGTTCTCTCGGTATTAGAGTTCACCACTGCTGTTCTCTCGGTATTAGAGTTCACCACTGCTGTTCTCTCGGTATTAGAGTTCACCCCTGCTGACCTCTTGGTATTAGAGCTCACCACTACTGTTCTCTCGGTATTAGAGTTCACCACTGCTGTTCTCTCGGTATTAGAGTTCACCACTGCTGTTCTCTTGGTTTTAGAGTTCAATCCTGCTGCTCTCTCAAATTTAGACTTCAAATCTTCTGTTGTCTCGGTATTATACTTCATTTCTGCTTTTCTCTCGGTGCTAGAGTTAAGTACCACTGTGTCCTCGGTCCTAGGGTTAAATCTTGTTAACCCTTCCACCGCAGATGTTTTATTTTGACTATCGGGAGAAGACATGGGTAGCTGGGAGTTAACGTCGTTTCCCTTCCGTGGACTGACCTCCTGTTGTTTGGCGGCACGCTTGCTATCACAGCACGATGCTGCCTCGACCTTGACCTCAACCGGAGCAGCAGCGCCACCGCAACAGCAGCCGCTCTCTCCCCCCTGGCAGCAGCCGCCGTCTCCTTCCGCGCAGCACTTCTCTGATGCGGGGTTGTATCCACAGTAGCATCCCATATCCCTATTCCTCTTATCCGTCTTCTCGAAAATGGGACCGCATCCATTCTTTTCCGCGCTAGACAGCGACACCGTTCCATTCCTCACGGCCGTGTTTCTGTTTTTAGAACTTTGAACTATGACCCTCGGAGCAGCGTTTTCCACCTCGCCGCGTCGTATCTTCCTCAGCCTGCGACTGATGCACGGCAGCCACTGAGTGACGCGGAGACAGATCACAATGGCGGGCAAGAAGGCGCTCATGAAGCTGACGGAGTGCAACATTTCGGTCCAGCTCGTGTAGCTGAGCCAGTGGGGGAATCCCATGATCCACGCGTGGATGGTCGCCATCAGCAGGGCGAGGAAGCCGAATTTCGATTGGACGAACCTCCACTCGACCCAGTTTAAAGAGTCGGCAACAGTCGGAAGTGACGCCACGGCCAGGATGCACAAGATGGCGTAGGTCAAGACTCCAGTGAGGGTTGACAGCTCACCCTGTGGATGTAAAAAAAATAAAAATAAATAAGCTTGTCAGAAGAGTAGTAAAACCTATCCTGGATTTTGACCACCTCTCTATCCCACCCTTCTATCCCACCCCTCGATCCCACCTCTCTATCCCACCTCTCTATCCCACCTCTCTATCCCACCCTTCTATCCCATCTCTCTATCCCACCTCTCTATCCCACCTCTCTATCCCACCCTTCTATCCCACCTCTCTATCCCACCACTCTATCCCACCTCTCTATCCCACCCTTCTATCCCACCCCTCGATCCCACTCTCTATCCCACCTCTCTATCCCACCTCTCTATTCCACCCTTCTATCCCACCACTCTATCCCACCTCTCTATCCCACCTCTCTATCCCACC